ATCACTATTAAGCTCTAAGTTAATAATTAATACCAAGAACCATTGTCAAGGCAGTATAAATCACCAAGTAAATTGTAAGCTATAATAAATTCAATCCATATTACTAAGAGCCTGTTCTGATTTAAATAAACTTGTAAAACTGAATTATAGGTCCTATACATAGAGAAACCTAAATTCTGGATGTGGCACAATTCCCTGAATTAAGCTGTAGTCTAGGAATGGTTTCCAGTTTCAACTGAATTCCATGTCAGATTTACAAAGTTATTATAGATATCAAAGCTTACTCCCACAGCTTAGTTAACCATTTTTCCATGGAGGGGATCAAATTATCTTTCCAGTAAAAAGCTTATAATATCCTTGTTATAGTTAGCATCTACAGAGCTAATTCAGTAGAATTACTTTGAAAGAATATATGTTTTAGTAAAGTGTAGTAAGAATATTGCAAGTTGAAATGGGAATTGAACTTTTAAGTTTTGTTTCATTCTGCCCTTGCCAGCTTCTAGGATGGCCAAATGCAAAAGACTGTTCTACATGTTTAATTGATGCACAACAAAAGGAATGTAAACAATTCTACTTTGCCATGAAAGTTACACCTGCTGAAATCCCCAATTCTTCACAATTATTATACAGTCAGTGAAGAATCCTTAACATTTCTTTTCTCTTTTACACACAGTCATTCTATTTCTAAAAAGCTCCTGAAAATTTCTGAAGGAATCTGAAATCTTCTGCTCAGAAATACAATACTGGCACTTCATCCTCATTGGACTAGAAGTGCTCTTTCCACTTTTAGCCCAACAGCACCTAGGCTCTCCTGTGCAGATCTTTCAGAAAATATATGAGAGGGTAGAGGACTTCTACTATGCTTTTTCTCAGACTGAGATCATGGCAATAGAACCTGGGCAGGAGACATTATTGTGGTAAATTCAGACGACTGGATCAGATGTCTATGTCATTCTTCTCCATTCCAGTCTACCAATCTTAACAATACCTAAACTAGATCACCCAAAGAAGTTGTATTTACTAGCCACAATTTAGTGCCTTTCTCTGAGTTTATTCCTGTGTGTTGTGTTCACACATGCCTTTCCTGGTCTAGGCATCTAAGCACTAAATAGAGATTGTCTTCTACTCTAAACAGTAATTGCAGCTTTCCCGAACCTGGTGTTGTTCAGAGATGGGCACTATGAATATGAGACTCTGGAGGGCTCCAAACTGGGGAAGGCTGACTGTAAAAAATAGTTCTTTAGCAGCTAATAGCACAAGCACATGCAGTGACTTTCTGGTCTGAAACACTTAGAAACCTTCCAATCATTAAGAATTCTCAGCCTGTGCACTTGCAAGTCACCAAAGGATGTGGCACAATAGACAAGCAGCCTGTCATATGCCTAACACCTGATCTTGTGTTTGCAATTCCAGGCAGGTAGGCAGGCAAAGGCAATTCTAGGGAGTCTTCTTGTGCCACTATAAATAGTTGAGGGACAGTACTCTATGTGGCAAACCACAATTGGTTTAAAGCATAATCTAATATGATATCTTAATGGTCAACCCCAAATGGTAGCATCAGCACTCATACAGGAGTCTATTTTATTTAATAGTATGGTTTACAAAATGAAAGTGACAAAAAATTGCCATTAAAATAATCAATAGTGATAAAAGAACTGGGCTAAGAAAACACTTTAGCACAAGGAGACAAAGTTGGTTAATTCTTTGTCTTCACTACCCAAATGGTTCTACAATGCCTTAGCAAACAAGTTGAAGGAAAGGAGGCTGAATGAACCTCTTCGAACCTCTTAGAAGGGGGGCCCATAGAATAGGTCTGCAAAAGTAAAGCACACTTGCTGGCTTGGGGTGGGAGAGCTGCTCCCACAGGAATCAAAGTACTTGAAATTGTGGGGAAGTAAGCTCCTAAGGGCTCAAAATGTTCAGTACCAGCATTTTGAATTAGAGACAAAGCAATGCAGTGCCTCAAAATAGTTGATTAGTTGATACATTGTTCTACAGTATATCAGTGATTAAGTTTGTGGCTTGTTGGATGGTGCCTTCCAGAAGCAAACTACAGATCTTTCCAAGAAGCACAGGGTAATAGGAATGGGAATAATCACCCCCAACATCTGCTGGGAGAAAAATACTGCTAAGTATGGTCCTTCAGGAACATCCTGACTTGATTGCTGATAGCTTCCTCCTTCATAGTGTAGAGAAAGGTACAAGAGGATCAGGTATCCTTGACTTGGCACTAACCAATGAGGAAGGCTTAATTCATGAAGTGGAAATAGCAGGATACTAGAAAAGTGACACGTAATGCTAGAATTCTTGATTCTTGGTTACACTATTGATGTATAATCAAATACTTATCTTGAACTTCAAGGAAGTGGATTTTAATGAAAGAGCAGTAA